TTTTTTTTTATGGTTCTCAGGATTATATAATTTTACAGCGTCTCAATCTGAAGCTGCTCCGCGCGTCATCACTCTGCGCCTGAGTCGAGCATCGTTGGCGCCAAAGAGAATCGGAGAGTGTCGCGCAATTTGTCAAAAAAAATAAAGAAACGCTTTTGTCGCATGCTCAGAAATGGTGAGTCGGCTTATTAATGCTCCGTGTGTAGAAATAATGACACAATCAGAGCAGCTGCTCGGGCTGTTTGGCTGAAGAAAGAGCAGTTAGCTCCGACCTGTAGCCTTTACGTGTTTGCTAATAGACTAACGTTAAAGCTACATAAACAATAATACATACAAAGTCTGTTTATGAACTTCTCATGCTCCTGGCTCAGGTGCATTTGTTTACATCTTGTTCGAGCAACATGTAAGCTTTCAAATTAGCCATAACTTATCGATTAAGATCGACTGGTTGCCTATAGACAGGCCTTTATGAAACTGTATAGCAATACAGCACAGTTGTTTATGTGTTGGTGTTTGGTAAGCACCTGATCTTGATTGTAATTGTCAATTTTAAAATGTAAACATGCAATAGAACAAACTCAGCCTGCGGTTACTGTGGTACTTGCTCTGCATTGCTCTTTCAGTAGCCTGTGCCATTATAAAATAATAATAAAACTACATTAAGTGCTATTAGTAAATATTGTTTTGTGTGTGTTTCAGGACATCCGGAGGTTTTTTGCGCCTAGCAAACCTGCGGCACTCAAACCTTCAAATGGAAGCACCGGCTCTGACGGAGAGCAGAAGAAGAAAGCAAAATCAAAAACTAGGGTAGAACAACAGTCCTTGAAATGCATTACAAATGTTCAAGGCTGTGATTTGCACAGAATCTATAAATATGAGATGGCATCTACAGTGTAACTTCATTCTTGTATCCTCTTTATTTACATGAGTTTGCATGCATTTGTTTGATGCATCCTGCAGTGCTGCACAATCTCTTTCTCTTTCTCTCTTTAGGTCAAGAGTCCCACATCTGACGAAAGACCCTCTGGAAAACGAAAGAAAAGAGTCATAATTGATTCAGGTTCATAAAGAGCATTTATCAGAATTGGTCAAATTATGATGATGCTGACCAACACAGTCACAATGTTAGGGGATCCGTGCATATGTGAAATAGTGTAAAATAAATTATAAAAACAAAGATGAAATCAAATAAACGTAATATCTTACTAAATAGAAATGTCATTATCTTAATATAAACTAAATATTTTAGACATATTTATAATACAGTAACACTTTACAATCAGGTTTATTAGTTAACAATAGTTAACTGTATTAGTTAACCTGAACTAAGCATGAACAATACAGTATTTATTGATCTTAGTCTATGCTAATATTTAGTAATGCATTATTAAAATCAAAAGCTGTATTTGTTAACATTAGTTA